CAGAGGCGCCTGAGGCGGAGGGTTGGAGGGGCGCGGGGCAATTGGGGCTCGTACCAGCCCTCGTGTAGCGGGACGGAGGACTGGACAGGTGGGACACGATGGGACAGGGGGGTGGGACTGGACGGGGCGGGGTGGTGCGGAACTGCACGGGCACTGGACAGGCGAGGTGGTGCAGCAGGGTGGTGCGGGGTGGGACTCCGACCCTGGAGCCATCCTTCCTGTGTCCCTTCCAGTTCCAGCTGCGTGGGACTGGATGGGACGGGGCCAGACTCGACCCTGGGGCCATCCTACCAGTGTCTCCTCAGTTCCAGCCCCGATGGGACTGGACGGGACAGGTGGGAGTGGATAGGACAAGGCGGGGCTCGACCCTGGGGCCATCCTTCCCTTCTCCTAGTGTTCCCGAGGGGCAGGACAGGACGGGGCAGGGCTGAACCCTGGGTCCATTCTTCCCATGTCCTCTCAGGTTCCAGCTAGGTGGGACTGGACCCTGGGGCCATCCTTCCCTTCCCCTTGGGTTCCAGCCGGGTGGGACTGGACAGGGCGGGGCTCAACTCTGGGGCTATCCTTCCTGTCCCCTGGGTTCCAGTGGGTGGGACTGGACTTTTTTTGGGGGGGGGTGGGACTTGACCCTGGGGCTCTCCTTCGGGTCCCTCGGGATCCAGCAGGGAGAGAGACTGGATGGAGCCCGTCGGCTCTTCACACTGGGGCCATCCTTCCTGTCCTCTGTCCCCTGGGTTTCAGCCCTCCTGTAGCAGGACTGGACTGGATGGGGCAGGACGTGACCATGGCATCATTGGGTAGGGGAGGGACTCTACCCTGGCACCATCCTTCCCCTCCCCCTGGCTCCAGGGCACGTGTCAGGCCACGAGGCCACACCACTCTCCAGCCCCAAAGCCCCATGCCCTGATTCTCCTCTGACACCTCCCACCTTCTTTAGTGCATCCCTGTCCTCTGGAGCTTTCGAGCTCCTGTGCAACACAGGGCAGCCGTCGCCATGGCACCCACGGCAAGGAAGAGCTTGGGGAGAGCTGCCAAGGCCCAGGTGGAGCCTCGGGACCTGTCCGTCTATGACTTTGAGTGCCCAGGTGAAACACTGCTCCTGTCCCAGGGGTCCCTCTAGCGGGGAGGCTCTGCTCTGGGCATCCCCATGTCAGAGGTGTTCCCCTTCTTGTCCTGTGGGGCCGTGAAGCACGTGGGCGGCTGGAGTTCCTGGCCCTGGGTTGGGGCTACCCCACGTGTTTCCAGCTTTGAGAAGCCCCTGTGTCTCAAGCACCTTCACGGGATTCCGGCTCTTGCTCCTCTGAACCGCTGGCAGCCCTCACTTCCTACTTGTCCCAGGTGCAGGACATGTACTTTGGCCCTGGTAAAGATGCCTCCTCCTTCCAGTGGCCCCAATCCCTGACCAAATTTATTGTGGCCTACACCTAAGGGATTCCACCTCTGTCTGTCTGTCTGCATCAAGATCTTTTCCTTGGCCTGAAGAGCCAGGGAAATTGCACAAGGGAGAGGATATCTCTGCAAAGAGTGGATCAAATAGCACACTTGCTTGAAAAACATCTTTCCTTTCTCTTTTCTATGCAGCAACCAGTTCAGGACTTGATGACAGTGCGGAGGAGAGTTCTTTCACAGGTCGTCAGGAGCGAGACATGGGGTAATGTGTTTAAAGCCGTTTTTTGCCTGCTGCGTCACATAGGGTGATTTCAGAAAAGTCCGCCTTCTGCTCACACATCATCTAGTCGACCTAATGTGCTCGGCCTCCTGCCCTTCTGCAGAACCAAGGGCGGTGTTTTGCCTACATTCATTTGAAAAGCTGATGCAATTTCTTCACAGGAATGAACTACGGAATATGTTGGCCAAGTTCCAAGGTACGTTTTGGGAGATATTGGTAGTTTAAGTAAAGGGTTTCAAATCAAAGGCGTTTATCCCAGGAAATATTCATCAGAGGACCTCAGGACCATCTTTGACACCTTGCTCTCCGAGGCAGGATGTTACACAAGTATGGACTATTTGGGCTTAATAGATTTCCCTACCCATTTTAATTGTTGATGTGAAGAGCATGGTACTTGCAGGCCTCAGGTAAGAGTGGTGCTTTTGTTCCTGTACACTGAAATGTGAAAAGAACATTGGATGAGATATCTGTACTCCACATTAGGCCACACAGTGAGGGCTATATCTATTTTAAAGTTTTAGACTTCATTTCACATGTTTTGTATGACCACCCCCATTTCTTTTCTTTGGGCTGGGGGTAGCGAAGACGGAATCTTCTCTCATATCTCCTCACTGTTTACTGACATAAATAACCCTTGTATTGGAGGTCTGAAGCCAACATTGTTAGAATGTGAGTGATGGTTGGATGATAAGAATCTAATCCTAGTTTTAGATGGCTGTGATGGATATTATCTCCGCTAAGTGTGTTCAGTGTCAGACTCTTAAACATAGAGCCAGAATCAGTTTAGAATCTTTTGCCTTGATGTACCCAGCATGTAGAAATGGTCTGTGAGTGAATTTATTCACGCCCTTAAACTCTTTGTGGTCTTTATCCCATAGTTCAATTTCTTGAGAAGCCTGACTGGTAAACTAAAATGGACTTTTCTTGTGTTCACATGCCAATATTGATCTTTGTGCTTTGGAGCAGGCTGTGAAAGGAATTGTTTTGTGTTTTTGCATGAAGCGGTCCGACCATATTCCCTCTAAACGTGACCTTAAATTGGAGGATATTTTTGTACATTTGTTAAAAACTAGCCTTTGTGTGTGTTTTCTCGTGAAGATGTTGGACACTATCGCTTGAGACCCCGTTTGTATGTTTTGGAAAAATAGAACCTGGTTTTCCTTGCACATGTTTTACATCCAAAGTGTGGAGACTGAAGTGCAAGTGTCGACTTTCACACTGCCATAAATTTTCACTGAAAGGAAGGATGCATATAATCTTTCCTTTGGAAGAGATGCCTGCTTGTTGACACTAAGTGTCCATCATGCTGTCAAATCCAGGTTACCCTTACTGGCTTGACGCTGCATGTTAACAAGGATATATTTTCTATGTAGGGGACATCAAGAAGCTTCTTCAGGCCAAGAGAAGAAATTTCAAAATGAGTATCAGTGCTTCTGTCAAAACCTTTCAGCAGAAAATTGAGCATGTTCTGAAAATCCAGCAAGAGCAAAGGTGAGGTTGTTGCTATTCTGGAGCCAAACAGTTTGTGTCCGTGGGTGCACACTACTCCTGAGACTTGGATGGTCTTTTGTTTGTTGGAAGAGAGATTGTAAAGTAAATCAAATTGGCTTGAATTTTCTTTGGAAAATAATTTCTTTTGCCCTATATCCTTGCATGATCATTGATCATTAGTTTCCTGGAGGTCAATCAATAAAGATGACCTTTTCTGACTCTTCAGATTGCAGTTGAATTTCCTTCACGGGAGGAAGTGAGCACTCTTTCCGTGAAAGTTTAAATAAGTCACCACAGAGAGACCCCAGCAGCAGCAGCAGCAGCAGCAGCAGCTGATGATGATGAAGAGAGAGGTAGTGGCGGGGGTTTGGGGGGCACCTTTTATTTCTATTTTTAAAGGGACAGGACACTAATTTTACCCCCACTTCAACTTTGAATTGAAGGGGGTGGGGGGAAGGCGGCTGAGTTCCTTCCCCCACCCTCCAGCCCGGAGCCCTGAGAGGGGGATTGAGTCTGAGAGAGAAGGAGAAGGAGTTTCTTCCTCTTCGAAATCCTCCATCCACGACTCCTACCCCCTCACCCCTCCACTGGCTTCCCTCCCGAGCCCCCTCCACCCTCCTTCTCTTTGGCCGTGAGAGGAGGAGAGAAAGAGACCAAAAGCCTCTTAGCAACACAGACCCTTTGCTGTTGCTACTGCTGCTGCTGCTGCTTGGCCCTGGCTGGAGACATCTCACTACACTCAGGAGCAGCCGCTTCCCCAGCTCTCCTCCTCCTCCTTCGCCTCCTCCTCCTCCTCCTCCACTCCCCCCCCCCTTTATTACCCTTTGTGTCATCCTCCACAGCTCCAGGGAAGGCACTCAAAAGTGGGGGGCAGGAAAGAAATGAAACTGTCAAGTACGAGACCACATACAGCACTTAAGAGTTTTATATTTTATGAGAATAGTAAGACAATTATCAACTTGCCAGTTTTCTATGGATATGAAGATTTACTCCTAGTCTTCAATGGGACCCCATGAAGTCACCCAGAAAGCCTATGTCCAACATATGTACCTTTGCAAACTTGTCTGGATTTTGAATGCATGTGCAAAACAGATTGTACTTAGCTATTCATTAAACATCTATGGAGCATCTACTGTCTGTCAGGCACTGTGCTAGGCATGTGAAAAAACAAGAATGGTCCCTGCAATTTAATGTAAAGAGATTTCTTAATCGTATTCCACAAGTGTATTGGTCATATATTTACTTTGGTTTACCTAAATGAATTTCATATTAACTAAATGAATACTGTTAGGTAGAATAATGCATGTTTAAGAAGGATATTGCTGTATTTTATTAAAATAGAAAAGATAATTTTTTTTTCACTTAATACTGTAT